AATGAATTGAAATGTTATTGATTTTCATAATAGAAATGCTTTATTTTGAATGGATAATACAATTGAAGAGTTCCTGCAAAAACAGAATAACTACTCACTCTCAAATAAAGAAATCACTAAAGGCCTAAAGGATAAACTAGGTCATAGAAGCTATGGTTTGATTTTCAAATGAAGGAAAGCTTCAAAACGACTGTTTTGTAGCGATAAAATTATTGGGAAAGTCAAAAGCTAATGGCCAAGAGTTTATCAATGAAGTTGCTACAATGGGAAGGATCATGAATTTTGGGTTGAAGAATCACAACAAGCTCTAGAATATGATTTCATGCCTATTGGTCTTTGGATAAAATCATGTTTTGAAGAGATAGTAACACATCTTTAGGTTGGGAAAAAATGTTCGAGATTGCTCATGGGGAGGCTGGGAGGAGTGAATACTTACATCGAGGATGTGAATGCTACACAATCTCCATTTAGACTAGAATTTTAATCCTTAAGTTTCTAATTTTGTCCTTGCAAAACTATAACTTGTAGATGACAGTGTTGTACCTTTCTCTACAGTGAAAAGTACATGAGGATACATGACTCCCCAATAATTCTACAAGAATATTGAAGGTGTCTTATATAAGGCTGATGTTTATAGTTTAGGAATGTTGTTGATGGAAATGGTGGGAGAGAGAAGGAACATAAACGCATTTGCTGACTAATCTAGTAAAATATACTTTCCAACATGGATTTATGAACGATTTGATCAGGTCGAGAATGTAGAGTTAGGAGATGTTACAGATAATGAAAAGAATCTGGTGAGGAAGATGGTCATAGCTGCCTTCTGGTGCACACAAATGAAACCTGCTATTCACCCTTCAATAAGAAAAGTCTTGGAGATGCTTGAAAGTGAATTTGAGGTCCTCGAAATGCCACCCAAGCCTTGTTTAGTTCCTTCTGAATTGCCGATTGCATTCGCTAGCAATAAAAGTCCTGCAGTGATGCTAGAACTTAATGGTCTACTCCCAATGCATTGTAGGTAAATGCTTAGTCAAGGCAAGTGTTGCATACCTTCCCATATCATGCATTGTTTGATTCAGTAAATGGTCAGTTTACAATTTAATTTCTTTGAGTGAAATGTATCGAATTATTTTTAAATAATTGTTTGAAACAAAGAGATGAAATATTATACTCTGATTTATGTACTTCCTTTTTTTTTTTTTTTTGGGTTGTGAGGGTGAGGCTAAAGCGTATGTACCTGCATAATTGACAGAACACAGGTGTTGTTAGTCTTTTTGAATTACTCGCTTTACGTAATGTAACTCTTGTTAGTGGAAATGAATTACGAAAAGCTTGACTTCCGCGTTACAGAAGTTGAAACACTGTTTCAAATAGGGGATCATTTGTCTGACTCTCTAAACTTGAATGGTTAGTTTGGTTCTTCATTTTGTCAACATCTGTCCTGCCTTCTTCTGCATATTGCTTTGTGAACATCATAGCATTGTGATGAATTATTTAGACTAAAAGCTGCAGCATTGTGAAAATGACAAGTAAACATAATTTCTCAAATTATTATTATTACTTTTTTTTTTAAAAAAAAAAATCTAGCTAGTACTAAAAACGGAAAAACTCTATTAAAATTACCCATGCTATTAAACTAGAAATCAATAGAACTAATGAGATTAAAATCATTAAATATCGAAGCCTGAAGGCTTCCTGAAAAGTTCATAAAAAGAATAGATTAGATAAAAATTTTGATCTAGTTGAGGCCGGAAGAGTAAGTTGATTAAAAGTCTAGAACTAAAAAGAATTGTTTTACGCCTATAACCTTCTAATTCAGAAATAACAGCTAGTTATCTGTAAACGGCTTCTTTTGTAACGTTAGCACCAATCTTCTCGAAACTAATCATGTTTACTTCTCTAGGATTTATGATCGATAGGATTCAATTATTATAATTTTCATTTTGTAGCACAATTATTTAGATAGAAAACAAAAGAAGTCTAGAATAGAAAGATTTTCTACCATTAGAATTCAGAGATTGCTGCTAATTCTCTGTTTATTGATCTCCAAGGGATGTTGGCACTGGTCTGCACTCCATCTACATGGACAAAGGGATTTGGTGGCACTTTCAAACTGTTGACTTCCCCTTCCAACATATGAACCACAGCTCTCATTGATGAACGGTCCGTACCACTGAATGTACCAAAGTCCAACAATTATAAGCTTTCTTGCTATCTAGGCATGTCACTCATTTTCCATTCTAATCTTCTCCTTTGTCCAAGCAATTATACACCCATGCTGGGAAATAAACTTGGTTCGTACTCTCCACTGTGACATTAATATTCTTCCTCCCTCCTACCATTTCTACAAATAGCATTCCAAATTATAAACATAGGATTTATATGACATCTTTCTAAAGTTCCTAGACAGTACCTCAGGGGCAATATATCCCATTGTTCCTCTGGCTGCTGTCATAGAAATAGCACTTTGTTCCTTGGAACACAGCTTTGCCAAACCAAGGTCAGAGATCTTGGGGTTGAAATTACGGTCTAGCAAGATATTGTAAGGCTTGATACCAAAATGGAGGATTTGTTGAGCAATATCTTGAAGCTTCT